TTTGTGTGCCAACCCACAAATGTTGTGGTTTAATATTGAACCAAATCAAAACAAGCTGTAAAACAACATTTGTTGGTTGGCACACAAGAGACTAGGGTATGACAAGTCATAGACTTGGTATTACGGATAGAAGCAGGATAGAGACGGCGGGGACCGGAGCCTGTTGACCTACGGTATGTCTGTTGTACCAGAGACGTGGTACATGTAGCAAAGGCATGACCATGAGACTTACTCAAATGCTTTAGCCTCGAATTAGTCATCCATACGCAGGTGTGGGCGAATAACGTCTCAAGTTTTGCGTATGGGGTGACATGGGTCAAGTTAAATACGTGTACCAGGCAGATAGCAGACGGATTCTAAGGGGCAAGAAAGAGACTCTGATAGTACCCAGGGAAGGACAACGTAACAATATGACAGACTCTGGCCAATATTCCCAGCACAAGGGTGAAGAGGATGAGAACGATAGCGTGGAGTGTGAAGTGTTTTCATGAATGCCACTCGAAGGAGCACACCACACTACATTAAAATAAGCATGGTAAACATGGTAACAGTGAAGGCGTTATAGGAAGATATAGGAAATGTGAATAGCTCAGGGCAGAAGGGGAGGTACTACAACTGTTTAGCACACGTTTAGGCCAATGGATGGGCTGCACGTGTCTCTTTGACCAGCTCTACTATGGTGCTACGAATGGCGAGACTCACTAAAAACGCTGACTACGATGCTGGCGAAACGTCTGCGAATGTACGACTTTTACGGTCCAACTTTAGAAATAATCATGCATACAATGTACTCCTGACTAGGTACCTTCTTCTAAGTCTTCCTACAAATGTGAAAACAAGGTCAAACAACTTCTAAATTAATTTATGTTCCTATTGCACCCATATATTTTCTGATTTTTGTATATATTCGCTTCACTAATTAAGAGCCTCTAGGCTGTTAAATTCAGATATTCCTATCTTCTCACATTGCCCCATAAATGTTCATGCTTGTTTCTATAACTCAAAAGGGTAGCTTATTGGGGCAGGCGGGAACCAAAATAATAATGGAAGCAATTTGATATAATTTGACTCATTCAAGCCCATGTAAATTGATGAATGTACAAATGCTCTTCCCTCGTTGCATTAGCATTCCATATCCTTTTTGTGAAGTTTCAGTGTTTGTTAACCTCAGCCCTATTTAAATCATCCCGAGTTTGTGGTGGTTGCCGAGGTTTACAGCCTTAAAATATCTTACTCATTTCTGGTACGATGTAGAATTCGAAAATAAGAACTTTATCAAACTAGATCGCTTACGATCAATTATGGACTGATAGTTAAATTTTATAACAATGAGATGAGTGGGCCTCACAATGCCATTTAAGTTATTTAAAGCTTGTCTCCCCAATGAATATCTTATCTTGTGTGTACTGCAGTTTCGATCTCGCATAGGTCTCAGCACCCCCACAGGTTTCGATACCCAGTCATGTGTATCATGACGACGTTATCACTCAACTACACAGCTAGAAGTATCAATGGGTCACAGGACAGATGTGACGTTCAAGATAAGCGAGACCTCAACCAAATAGCATTTTTGTATAATACGACTGTCATTTAAACAAACATATATTTCACATTGCAATCAACAACGCTACTTATTTTTGATTTGAGTAGGTTTGTATAATACAAATAATCCTTGAACAAGAACTTGATCATTCTCATAGTTGTTTGAACTTGTTTTCATAACTTGGTGATAGTAGAAGGAAGACATAGATGAAAGCACCTTGTCCGGAGTCCACAGTATGCATGATTATTTCCAGAATCGGACGTTCGTCAAACGTTTCGCCGGCATTGTAGTCGGCATCATCAGTAAGTCTTGTCATTCTCACCACCAAACTACAACGTGTAAAAGAGAAAAGTCAATCCTTTGATCAACTTTATACTGAAATGATTGTGCTATCACTTCTCTTTATATGCTGGCATTACTATATATTTCCTACTCTCTAGTCTCTATAGAGAGGGGGGTAAGGCGAACATTCGGTGTGGTTACGCCACGGTATATTTGACAAAAGGAAGGGGAATATAGACAAGTCAGAAGTTGTGGTAGAACGAAGGCCAGACATGAAGATAGGAAGTAGATAGAGACCAAGACAGAGCGAAGTTTAATAACACAACCGTTTCTGCAGAAAGTTGGTCTAGGGATCAACTTGACTTATCTATTTGACAAGTTGTGGTTTGGTGCTGAGAATGGCAAGACTCACTGACGATGCCGACTACGAGGCTGACGAAACGTATATGACTGTACCAAGGCCACGTTCCGACTCTGTAATCTATCCTGCATACTATGATTGCTGGACAAGTTGAGT